AAAAGACAAATGTAATCTACAAAATTCAATGCAATGATTGTGAAAAACACTACGTGGGACAAACAGGGAGGAAACTGTCAACCAGAATCACCGAACATAAGCTCGCCACCAAGAGACATGACCAACTCTCTCTCATCTCTGCACACGAAGATGGGGAAGGACACCATTTCGATTGGAATAACGTCAGAATACTGGGCCAAGCAAGAACAAAGAAAGAACGCGAGTTCATGGAGGCGTGGTACTCCACTGGTGGAGCAATAAACAGGCACATTGACATTGATCCTGCCTACCAGCCTCTGAGGACAAAGGAAATCCAGAACCACAGAACCCGAGGCCGGACAAGGACTCAAAGAAGAAATCAATAGAACAGCAGGCTACTAAAAATAGGAGGCACGCCACAAACCAACAGATAAGCCGACCACGACGCAATACAGATCAAGAACGGGCCAATCAGAATCCAGGTTACAGCGCGAAGACTGCTCTCTGTAGACTATATAAACGCAGGCACGAAGAGAGGAACTACCCAACCAACAGCGCACTGAAGATGTCTCCTCGAATGGTGACGAAACGTTTGCAAATCAATTGCCAAGCTCGGCGAACAGATCAACAGCCACCTGATCAATTACCAGGATTGTATACAACCTGGTTCAAAAGTTTTCTTTCACGAATGGTGATCACTGTTTTGGACAACTAATACAGACACGCTTCTTTGACTTTTTCACTATCATTAGTGAAGTAGCAGTGTGCCGTATTTAGGTGTGTGTATACAATTATTTTGCTTCCCTAATTCGTGTGGTTGTTAATCAGTATAATTCTTGTCTTCCTTATGTTTACAGTTCTTGTTGTGGTTGACGTGACTCATAAGCGATCTCGAGAAGAACTCGATGAGGAGGTTGTCAAAGCGCTACACTTTTTCCAAGACAAGGAATCGGTTCTGGTGTTGAACAAGGTTGGTTGTATCGATTTTCGTGCCACTTTTTACTCCATGGCAGATTGACAAGGCACGCAACAACCCAACAAGGCTGCTAGAAGTCACACGCAGGTTAACAGGGGGTATTGTGCGAAACCGGCGTTCCCATGTAGACGCCTATGAGTCGAGGTTTCTCAAACGAGCCAAAATGTCTCCGTCTACTCCTCGACTGAAACCTCCTAGTGAGGTAATCGCTGCCTATCTACCGCCCGTGTGTCATGAAGAAGCAAACAAGTTGCTTGCATATCTATCCTCTTTGCGTTCACAACTTAGCTTTTCGGTGTGTGAAGATACACAGGTGAACCTGATATCAGCTGAACCAAAGCACAGTCTTCCCGAGGTGAAAACCGATGAAGCGGACTCTGTGGAAACCAGTGGTGAGTTATTTCATTTATTAATTGTAGGACACAACAGGTCTATTTAAATGCCTTCATTTTCCAAAAGAAAGGTATCATTGGCGACGATGCTGCCCTTGAAGAGCGGCTGTTTGAAAGAAGTTATATGTTCCCATTTCGAATTTATATGCTCAAAACGGTCTCGATTTCGTTTGATTACGAGTGTTTTTTATTGCGAGGAAGCAGCATCACGTGATTGTCTTTGTTTACCTTTCAGTCACTTCCAATCCCACATTTGAAGGTCGTACGGTAACGGACGTGGAACTTGCTACCATTGATGCTTACTTTGCCAATTACCAACCAGGAACAGGCGGTCGTGCATCTGATTCGGAGATGCAAAACTCTCGTGATATGGAGAACCCGGAGATGGTATCAGCAATGAATGAAACTGAAACCCTGACGGAAACCGATAAAAATGACATTTACTTGAAATCATTGCTGGAGACGCTGCAAGAACAGCTGATGTTGAAGTCTGCCACTCGTGAGGAGGTAGCCGCCCGTCGAAAGCGATGGCTGGATATATCTCGCTCAGTCAATGGTGTATCTGATTGGAGTGGATTCAGTGAAGTTTTCATGGTCTCTTCTGCTACCGGTGATGGAATCAACCGGTTGCGGGTGAGTTTTATCCGTTATCCTGTAACCGTTCGATTTTGATCTGGATCACCTCTATTGTTGTCTGTTAATTCGTTTAAATCTTCCAGTGTAAGACCGCGCTATATATCACCCTTTTTCAAGGCTCTAAATAGCTCTGCTTTCCATCCACCAGATCCTCGCCGAGGGATCCACGGTTTAAACCCTTAATCTTGAACTGAGTTGCCTTGGAGCGGATAACTCTGAATTTTTCGCTTTCTTCCTTCGTCGGGGTTGCGTGGCAGCTAAATACTAAAGCATACCCTGACTTGAGTTTTGTTGATAAAGGTTGTCCTTCTGAGCCAACAAAAAAGTTTACTGTTCTTCTTGCTGCATCGGGGCTGGATGCAGTCGTCATTTCAGTGTAGACGATTTCATTTGCGCCTAACTGTCAGCACAGTATGTATGATGCCAGTCTTCCATGTGCCCAATGCAATAGAAGGTATGACGCACTGGAGCTTTTTTATTCCTTATTTCTAGTAGTGGGTGCGCTTCGCGGAATAATTTTGTTTTAATATCAATTTACGGTTTTTGGTTCCTTTGGGTCATTCCTGTGTGTATTCTTTTTGTGGCACCGGAGTCATTGTTTTTTAAGCAAGCACTTGCCACTACGTGAACAAGCCGGGCTGTTTTTGGTTGAAAACAGCATTAAACCAGTTGTTCCGACAACAGACCTTGAACATAGATCAGGTGCATGAAAAGGTTCATTTAAGGTGCTGCGATCCTGCTTGACAGTGACACCATGTGCAGGCCGTCAGTTCACTATGGTTCCTTGTTTTGAATTGTTCATCTTCTTTGATAGAGTGAGTCGTTCTCAGCATTCCATCTGACGGATGCTGCAGAGACCGACGGTGAGCTCTGAGCGAAATGCGATAGCGTCGCCTCCTGTGACGAGTCACGTAAACCGCTACATGGAGGTGATGTTCTATGTGACCTTACTCATCACCAAGCCAAGTCCTACGTTATCCTCCGAGACGTTGTCTGTGGCTTAGGAGGCGACGTACTGTCTGAAAATCTTATTGTCGTTCTTGCGTAATTGATGCTTAAACAATTGTGTTTGTTGTCTTTGAAGGAGCCAAGATGTCGCCCAATAATTTGAAGATAATGTGGTTTCGTTTCATGTTGAGTTATACGATTCAACATGGATCGGAGTTCTTCCTCAATGCACCTCAGAGGAGCGATATCTTCTGTTTATTTTTTTTTCTAGCTGTCCAACTTAGGGCACTTAAGTGAATAAAGTATCTCTCGTCAGCTGGCCCCGATGACCAGTGAACTTCCAGGTTGAAGAGCACCATTCCCATTGATCAGCTGTTGCGCAGTGTCTATCTGGGAGGCTCCACTGAAGTGGGCACTAGTGATATACATGTGCGTTGTGAAGAGATTATTCGCAGTAGTTCACGAGTTATGAGGTCAAATTCAGTTCGAAAGTTGATGAAACACATTGTGATAAGCTGTTAAAACTTGAGGTTCACACTTTCCTTTTCTGCTTGAGAGCTTTCTTGGTTCAGCCCTAGTTACTTGAAAGGAGCTTTGTAGTAGAACTGTCACTCAGTATCTGAACTACGGTACCTATCCCACACCATTGTCCCAGTTTAGTAATCAGTCGTAGTTATGAAGCGTCCAGTCCTGAGAAACGGGCTCGAAAGCAAGGTTCTCCTACAATCGAACAGCTAGGTTTTCATAAAGCGCGTTTCGTTCTGGTTTTCTTTTTGGTGAACCTGGAGGGGGGCGCAGTGGCCTCGCTCAACTGACCCATCCCCGAATAGACACCTTTCTGAATAGGGTACTTCGTGTTTGTCCCGCGAGCTTTGCTATTGGACTAGTGGGCGGGCGGCGTGGTGAAACTGGAGGGGGGTGCAGTGGCCTCGCTCAACTGACCCATCTCCGAATAGACACCTTTCTGAATAGGCTACTTCGTGTGTGTCCCGCGAGCTTTGCTATTGGACTAGTGGGCGGCATGCCAACATCCCTTCCTCTCAAAAAGAGTCCATAGTCTTCCTGCTTTTGGCCGCACTACCAATCGAGCTCGGATGACTCTGTATTTCTCCTCATCCATACCACGTCTATCCGCACTAGATGTATCTGTCAGCGCCAAAATATCCATTAAATCTGTGTTGACTACCGTACTAAGTTTTATTCGAAAGGGAAACGACCCTTGTTGCGAATTAGCGGTGTCAGTACTGAGCTTAATACTCTGCTTGTCCATTCAGTGGTAAATATTTGTGATCGGAGTACCTTGATCCCCTCAGCAACAAAGATTTCTTCTGGGCAGGACCATTCTATATAGTTCTCTTCAAAGAACAATAAATGTCGTACCACATGTCACTAGTCTTCCCCAGTAGGGATATACAAGAGGAACTTACTAGAGTCGTTTTATTCATCTCTTCATTATCTTTGGTTGTGAAACTTCCATATCTATGTGCCTTCTCACTGCTATATCAGTGAAGCATCGGTGTTGAACACTAATGTCATGTTGTCGGCGATGATGCTAATATCATATGTTCGAACAACCTCAACACGTCTGTACAGGTATAGTTTGTGCAAAGAAAGTGGTGTTTTCATCAATATTTCATCTTTTATAGGATTATTTAGTTTCGAAAGCTGTCCCAGGTCGACCTTGGATGCTCTCGCCTCTGCTGGTCACAGATCAGGAGCCGGCGGAGCTAGTACGGATGTGCATTTGGGCTCACTGTTTATGAAGCATCGGAACACTAATGTCATGTTGTCGGCGATGATGCTAATATCATATGTTCGAACAACCTCAACACGTCTGTACAGGTATAGTTTGTGCAAAGAAAGTGGTGTTTTCATCAATATTTCATCTTTTATAGGATTATTTAGTTTCGAAAGCTGTCCCAGGTCGACCTTGGATGCTCTCGCCTCTGCTGGTCACAGATCAGGAGCCGGCGGAGCTAGTACGGATGTGCATTTGGGCTCACTGTTTAAATCAGCTGCGTCAGGAAATCCCCTACTCTGTCCGCATTGTAGTTGACGATTGTGAAAAGGCTAACCTAACTGGTGATGAAGGAGATGACCGGGTGTTCGTACACGCCCGCATACAATGCCGCAGTGAAAGGCATCTGGTAAGTAGAACTGTTCTGATGCCTTAGCTGCTGTTTTTCTGTAATGAGATGGTAACTTTCTATTCACTCTTTAGTATTTGTAATATTTCCTCGTATTTTTTAGTATCATTCATAGTTTCAGTTCGAGTGTGTTGCAGCAATAAAAAGGATCTCCGGTAGTCGCCCGTACACATCGTACATCCACCAATGGTATCTCCTCTATTGGCAGCGCCATCAACTTACCAAGCTTGGGGAGCAAGTCACTGCCCATGAATACCATGTTCCACGCATTTGTTAACTTGGCAAACAATCTCAGGACTCAATAGGTTTAAGACAATCATAGTCGCTTATTTCTCCCTCTCGCACTGTTCTCAAGAGGTGTGGTAACGGAAATGCTGCAACTCATTTCCCGGTCTGATTCTCCTTAGTGTTATCAGTGGGAAAACCACTGAGGAGTCTACGAAATGTATCGACGCCCCGAAACAGGTCCAAACACCGTGCACAAAGCGTCATATTTCAAGTGTATGTAGCGGCAGCATTCTAGAAATTCGGGCACTGTTTGGACGCGTCAAGGGCAACCGACATACAGTGGATACTCATCCATCATTGACCGTTGGGTCCACACTTTCGACTAATCAGGGCTTAGTTTGACGCTGGACCGGCAGGCAGCCCGTTCTTCTGACCAATCGCGTGCGGGTTGAACCTACTGGCCATAGTAACGCCTAATTGTGAGTGGTAAGGTGGCTTTGATGCAGGATTCCGTCTAACCTAAGGATTTAGGTGCACTTGAAATTTCTGTCTCCATCTCCTTCCTTGGAGCTGTTATTCATCGGCAATAGTTCAGTTTGGGAAGATCGATGAACTCGTTGAGGTTGTAACGATAGAATTCCAATCTCAGCGCGCGCAGCAGCGAGTTGAGCCTTTTAACAGTGAGAACATTAAATACACTTGAGAAGCAAACAAGAAGACCGATATTGGAAAATGTAAATGGCTATGTTGTGTGTTATCAGTATGAAATCGATATAATTACAAAGCTGTTGCGCAAAGTATTCTGTATGCCCAGTGTTTCTCTTTCTCCGTACTTTTGAGACGAGCTGATATCTACAGATATTAAAAACTAATATTTACTTTTGTGTAAGACCTTTATTTGGCCAGTGATTCGTTTTGCGCAATGTCTACATTTGACTCTATCCATGACAGGATATATGCTTTGTAGCAGCACAGTGGTCCGAATATTAGTAGCTGTTGTACGTGTTCAGTCTGTTCTTCCATTCTGATAATTGTTTTGCTACCTACTCGGACGTTGCTGATGTCTTTTCCAGGATTTGCGGGCCAAACCCGGCTCAGAAGTTTAAAAGGTTGAGCGACATATGGAAACTTGTAAAGTCTAAGCCGACGTTTCGGTCACCGTTTGCAACCTTTTTCAAGAATTGCAGAAATCCCTTTTGATTGCACTGTGGTGATTAGGTAACACCGTGAAATGAACTTAGTAAGGTGCCTCGAAGCCTCAGTGTATCGTCCTTATTTCAATAGAACAGCAAGAAGACGTGGATCTCGAATTTCAAGTTGCTGACTGTCTTCGACTAACAAAGTAAAACAGGTATTTGATTTGTGGTCAGGCTCGTGATTTACGAGAATATTTATATATGAAATAGAGTAAGGTAGGTATGCTCTGGTGCAAACGCAAACTGCTCCACCACATTTTCCTTCTTTAGTCCCCACGCATTTTGAACCACAGGGAACGAACTGAAAATAACCCGGTGGTGTTATTTTGATCTTGTGCGCCGATTTGTACTTATAATTTAACGCGACTTCTGGATCTTCCCCTGTCCAAGCTTGGGCAACCTGGCAGTATCCCAGCCCTCTTGCTTGATTCGGGTTGCATGGAAGTTAGACACCGGAAGGATGTTACCGCTGAACGATGTGTAGCACTCGCACCATGTTGATGTTTAACATCATATTATCTCCAAACGACCCGGAACCCATCTAATCTGTACATCTCCGTCGGCGAAGCCAGTGAATCCACAGCCTCAAGTTGTGTTTCCTCCACCTCTGTTTCAGCGCCACGTTTTGGGACCAAGTGGAAACACAATAAGAGACATAGCCGCTGCCGTCAAACTGGAGCTTATGTCAATGTTTCGAGCAAATACAGTGGTCAAGCTGACTGCCGAAATGGCTAGTGTAAACCCAACTATCATGCGGAAACTCCGTCGGGCTGAGGACTTCGCCGAAGTATTCCCCGAACAAGGACGTGCCCGCTCCTAGAAGCAGAGCCTTTTGTTCACATTGTACATAAACTATATTGCTTTACTAATGCTTTTTGTTATATTTGGCTAACACTATCGGTAAACCAGTGTCACTCTCTCGTGAGTTTGAAGTCGCATTCCGCAGCGTCGACCACGCGGTCTTCCTGTATATATCCTGTTGAATTTCATGGTACCTCATGGTTTTTTGCAAACATAACTATAAGTAAGTGTGGAAACATCCTGGAAAAACCTGGCAAATACTGCAAATCGAATTCAACAGCGTCTTGAGAATCAATGAAGTGAACAACCATGTGATCGGTTTTGATTGCGAGCGAATTCGCTAATTCGTGCTGGCTACCGCTACTACTGTTCACTGCGTTGGGTTGTTTTTTAGCCATGCCGTTTTCGCATCCCTTGACATTTGATGTTGGGACGACTGGCCTCGAGCTGTGTGACTTGTTGCTGTCGAATGCTGCCTCCGCGTTAATTGATACTGTTCTCTTGAATGCTAAGGTTGGTACCTTATTCGTTTTAGTACTAATGGTCGCCTGTGCGTCTACCATTACAAAGGAACAGATGCACTGATGTGGGAGAAAATCAGCGTGTTAGTGAGCCATACACTTCGTTCGTGAGATTTCATTTTGGGTAGTTGGCGTCGACTGGCTCCTAAGTAGAATGATACAGCTATCAAACAAATTTCCACAGTCGATGGATTTGTGGTTGAGCCAGGGTGTAAAAGTTAATATAGAGGTGAATTACTTTTTGTGTTGGATTCCTTGTTGCCACTTTAGTAAGATAACCAAGTCAAACACCATACTGTGGATTTTAAGTTGACTGAGTTCATCGTTCCACAAAATTCACGTGAGTTTTTTCTCGGAATTCCATGGATTCACTTTCAGGACGAGCTATTTAGGCCTGAAATGGCGCGAGGTCAATTTTGCGCATTGGTCTCGATGACATAGCAAATGGCGAAAGTTACGGAACCCGTCGCAAACATGGGGCTGGGTTTTGTCGGTGAAATAGCTGGTTTTCTCAACTCCATAATTGCATTCACGGGTGTCTGTCTGAGGGAGCAATTCCAATTGTGCTGGTCGTTCATAAGGGCACTCCTGAGGAAAATGATTGGGCAATCTTTGATACAAGATTATGTGGATTTTCTGTCGGAAAAAATTACTTCCACCTTATTCACAACATAGACTACTAATCACCCTTCGCCTAATGGAGGTAAGTTGAAAATCCTTGCCGACTATCAATCTATTACCCAAAGGTGTACCTGACCATATCTCGTCACTTTACTGTTTCCAGCTTGTGACGCCAGACAACATGCACCTTTAGCTCACCTACTTGGGTGCACACCAACGAGCAGGAAGTGGTTAGAGCGCGAATTTACTGACCGAAATGTCCATGGTTCAAACCCGATTTCTGCCTCTCGAATTTGTCCGTCTAGGCTTGGACGACCTGGCAGTATCCCAGCCCTCGTGCCTCCTTCGGCTGGCATAGCAGCTAGGTACCAAAAGGGTGCTACAGCTGAACGATTTTTTTGTTTAATCAATCCCTCCAACCAATGCTACTGCACGCTTCTTAGTCATATTTATCTGTGGTAGCAAGAACCTGAACCAACACACTGTAAATCAGATACGACTTTTCGAGTCTAACAGCCATATTCTCTGGGCCTCCGAGCAACAGCACACAGGTATGAAGGTATGAAAACTCCGAATAGCTCCGCTGTTGAGCAGAGGAGGAGGATCTTAGGTGCTTTAACCATTTATTCGTCCTCTCAAACATTGCTTTCACTAGGTCTTCATTCCTCGGACAATGATCTTAGGTTTAAGGTAACGGTTCCTACCTCTCCCCTTCTTCTTGATACCGATACGCACAAAATTCTGGTACTTTGGCTACTCTGATTGCCGTATATAGATCCATGTACACTCTTCCTTTTCACCCTGCGATACGAACGCTTGCCCTTCAAGGAATGCCCCGGAAGTTTGTAAACATAGTATATCCTTTGTATTTTTGGAATTCCGGACGTGTTAGAGTATACGGAGAGCTCCCCAAAAGCGGTATCCGTCAGAGGCTGCCCACTCTCTTTCTGTTTAATTTCCTGATCGATGAGATAATGAGACGAACACTGAAAAGTCCTCAAAATCCCGGGGTTCAAACAGTCTCTGACGAGAACCTTGTCAATCTGGAATATGCAGGCGATATCGTTCTCGCCTTCTAAGAGAAGGAGAAGGCGCAGGTATATTTAGATGAACAGACCAAAGTCATACGGTCCTTTGGTGTGCACTTTGCGCCCACAAAGTGTAAGGTCATGCTTGTGGACATGCAGTCACTGAACACGCCACTTACAGTCCATGGAGGGGCATTCGATGTTGTGGAGCGTTTTACGTACCTTGGAGGTTGTATTAGTTCCGACTGGTGTGACAGATGAGGTCAATGCACGAATCTGCAAGGCGCGAGTCACGTTTTCTAATTTGAGCAAGAAAATTCAGTCTGTACACAGTCTTTAGAAATACTTCCAGATTAATACGTTTATACCTGCTTCTGTTGGTTACACATCGTTATCTCACTGTGACTTATTTTTCCACAATTTCTGGTAGCGTCATACACATGTCTCGTACATTCCAGTGTGTAATGGAGTATTTTGTTTGGCGGTCGTTTTCACCTTTAAATAACGCTATGATAACCGAACTGTCTAACAGAAGTTTCTGAACGCCCCTGATTAAACCAAACCTACAAAACCCGGTAGTCTATGTCGACTCGTTGCTTTGGCAAAATTAAGAGCAAGGTACTTCGGCTTGTACCGATTTCTATCGCTGTTGAAAATACCGATTATCATGTTTTCAACTCGAGCCGCAACCGTTATTTCCCAGTTGTAATCTCCTGCTTATACCACACTGAGTCTCGTCAGTACTGTGTGCATTTGGGTTCAAACCCAGGGGCGATCCTAAATGCTCGCCCTGTTTGGCGACCATGGTGTTTGAGTGAGCAGGAGATCCCTGCGCTTCATGTGTCTCTGTTTTGGAACCGAATGTGATCGGTTTGCACACGAATGAACATCTATCGCGTGCCACAGAGTGCTGATCAGTCCATTAGTCCAACAATGAATGGTTAAACTAGAAGGCCACTGCAACTTAAGTCTGGATTTCGAACGAGCGGGCATACCCATGGGGGATAGTGAACAATGCTCCTTTTCTGTTATTAACTTTGTTGGTTACGGAATAACAGCAGGGATCACTGGTACAAGCTTGAACAGAGGAAGTGGAAGCAACGTTAGTCAGTCACGCATTCAAATGAATTATGCCCTTGTTCAACAGTGACTTTTTAAGCCAAAAGACAAGCTTTGTTCTCTAGTTTTTCTCGTAGATGAGCCCGGCCTAATCTGGACCATATATTCGCTCTGAAAATATCCGATTGTCATTTTCATGCAGTTATCAAAGTGGAACTCGGTGTTATGTGTTCCTTATCCGCTCCAGTACTCTTATGTCTTTTCGCGTGCGCTAGCGTCGACCCATAATTTACCAAAATTGAGATTCGATCCGAAATTTCAGTTCTGAGCTCATAAAAATTTGGGAAAATTTGTTGACCTACTTGTGGATAGGCCGTCATAACATCAATTTCTGCATCGAAGACACTACTGGTTAATGGATGGATTTTTGCTGGGGTTATCAGTTTCGTTGCAACTGTGTCGTCACCAATCGGGGCGACATTCTGAATGAGTAACCGTATAGTGGTCGTTAGTTTGAAGGATAAGAACCTGAAATCATGCTTGAATGCTAAGCATGGGGAAAGCCTTGTTACCGGTTTATTAGTTAGTAGTGTGATGTGTTTGCACATAAACGGCTTTGGTAGATGAACGAATTGAATTGGTTCAAACTAGAACCGTTAACTACGATTTCAACGTCAGTTTTCGTCGTTAAACGCTTAAATCGCCTCTGAGTTGGTGACTAGGTCAGCAAAACACCGCTCAAAAATTTTAGAGTTTCGCACTTGAGCACATTGCATTATGGCTTTTCTCCTCATAATTGAAATGAACAGAATGGATTGTGTATCAATAGAATGTCTCGTTTTTGTTGGTGGTTCTAGAAGTATCGTAAGCTGAGAGTGAACCATCTCCGTTAAAATCGTCCTTTCTGCTTCGAAATGGGCCACGGGGTAGCGCGTAGCCTATGAGGATCTGGAGTACAGGTGTCCCCGCAAATCAACAAAGAATTTCTGCAACATTGTGACCATGATCGTCCGTTTGATTTCGTCACAGTCCTCTGTTGTCGAACGGCTTAACAACAACAAAGTGCAATCAAGAGGAACGGGGATGTATGAGTGTCAATCTGCTTCACTACTAATAAATTTATTTCGAATCTGAGGTGATCTGTTCATCCAATCCAGCCCGTGGTTACTCCATTGGTGAATAATCGGATAGTTTATTGGAGTTTCTTGCTTTCAATAAACAGTCCAAGCGTCCTTTAGTCAGATGTGAGATCCGTTTGTTAACTACACAAACTTCGTTGTTCTCGTACAGAAAAGTTCCTCAAGATAAGCAACCTGGATAACCTAAACAGTTTGGCTGTCAAATTACTTATCCTCCTTTGATATGGTGTTTTTCAACAATCTGTGCTTCTGCTTGTCTATCTGAGAAGTGTGCCGATGTTCGTGGGTTAGAGGGTAAGCTTCGTTAGCTACATCTTTAATCGCAATTCACTTTAATACAGCACTAATGTCCTTCCAGAAATAGGTTGATGCCAGGGCCACGTAAGTTCAGCAGTGTTCACCCTCTTATTGCGTGACACGCTACAACTGTGTAGGCGAAAAGGCACGTCGTGCCCAGATAGTTTTATGCCGGCACACATACCTCAAAACTGGGTGGATTCAAAGATTGCGTCTGAATGCGAACTATCATATGAACTCATCAATATCAGATTAGTTATCACCTGTCGACGACAGATGTAAGTGCGTGATTTGTATTGATTGACTGGCGCTGCGTGACGTGGACATTTAAGAGTAGTCTCACGAAACTAGGTTGTATGTTAGATCAGATTTTCCCCGGTGTCGTCATGCACTGCTTGCCTGGATCGTTTGCACACCACATATCAGAGAACAAATCAATTAGACTGAAAGGTTAAGTCAAGCGAATCTCTATTCACCCAGACGGTGAATTTCTAGCAAACCGATGCAAGGGATTTCAAGTCAAATCATATAATGCATGTAAATGTAATGAAGAAAGGCGAGGCATTTAGAGCAGATGTGAATAGAAAAGTTCCTTTTTCAACTTGAATTATAGTGGTCTCACGGTCTAACAAGCAAGCGGAATAGAGGAACATACCGTTCTTTAAGTTGATGGGCGGTTATTAGAGTTCTGCAGCTCCTATTCCGCTCCTTGGCTTCTTGTTATGCCCACTGATTTATCAGAAGGTTGAGGCGACCGTAGTGGGACAACGGAGGAATATAACAGCTGTGTTTGTAAGGCTGTCAGAATTATCCACAAGGTCATGCTAGAATTGCTGTGCTACAGCGAGAAAAGCTGAGCTAAAAGGCTTCACTCAGGTTGACATATATCCTAAACAATCAGGGTCTTCAGTCCTGTCTATCAAACAATCGTCTTGTCGACCAGGAGTTAGTTTATTCCGAGAAGCCCGACTTCTGACGGCTGATTAGTACAACGAATCGTCAGTATGTACACTGAGTCGCCTCTGAAAGATTGTCGCGAAAGTTTGAGTCATGTTGAATAAACTGCCCTTAAGGAAGGTATCGCATACATATAAGTGTTTTCAAACGGTAAAATCTTTCGCAAGCCCGTAACATTAAAATAAACCTCTCATTCCTTCCTGATTCAGAGTGGCGCGTCTGCAGTTGTTCCCTTCTACTTGTAGATATCACCTTACCAGAAGTACCCGTCACAAAGAGACTGAGTCTTACGGTGATGTGCTTCCGTTATCTGTTGAGCTATACCGGGTAGTCCGTGCGACACTCACAAAGTCTCATACCAGGTTTGTCATTCGTTGGAGCTCTACCCAACACCGTCTCTTGGTCCTCCACGTTTGTGGTGGAACGTGTGTGGCTACTTGTTTAAAAAATGTAATGCACTGGCATTTCCCCTTCAACACCGCCCCTTGCAGTAAGGATTCTGAGCCAAATACTTTGGTCTCCTGTCTAGGTTTGGGCGTTCTGACTGTAACTCAAACCCGAACAACCACGGCTCCGTGGCCGTCATGTGTTGCCATCAGCTGGGCCACCTTGCTTGCTGAAAACAGCAAGGTGAGTAAGTGAAGCAGGCTACTATTGACACATCCCTTCTCCTTCACGTATTCTGCCCACTACCCCATTTTCAGCACCGTCCGAACCCTGAAACTGACTGCTTTGTTCGCTTTGTATGACTTCCAGATGCAGTTTCTGCGCGTTCATCTTTAGCAACAATTCTAAAAGCATCGATGTTTATTTTTCAGACCTCGAAAGCCGATTCACTTGTCTGCCTCTAATATTCTCACAAATCAAGCAGAACAACAGTCGGCTTTTGCTAATGCTGGATTCCGTCGTCAGTGCTGTTCGCTGTCTCTCAGAAAAAAGAACCCAGGACGCAATTACTGTAACGGAACTGACTCTACCACCC